TTTACTAGCCCATCCACGCTGGCGGCCAGATACGCCTTCCGTTCCTCTTTACTCATCTTTTTTATGGCGGCAGCCTCATGGGCAACCACTGTCGGAGGAAATCGCTCGAAAAAGCCCGCCTCCTCGAAGCAAGGGGGGAAGGCGAAAGATTTAACAGCACCAGCGTCCTCACCGACAGTCGGACCACCTTCCACACGGGTCCTCTTCCGCTGCATCAAAACGGCACTGGGGTCGATCTCCTCGACTTCTGGATCCGACGCGGGCCCCGAGCTCGACGGCGATTCCACCCTCGCCAACTGAGGAGCGTTTGGACTTTGTGACGGGCCCATTCTCGTCGCCTGTGGGGGCTTCACGACCCTCCTGCCTCGCCTCTGGTCGCAGGATAATTTCAGGAGCCTTTCATGTCGGCTAGCCATCGTACCTGCACGAAATAAAGGAGAAGTCAGTATCGAGCAAACTTCATGAGTAAATGACGAATAAAGAATTTCAAGCAACAAACAACCTAACAGGCGGGCAGCCTGCCTGTATGTCGGGCACTCCACCAGCGCCTTGGTGTCAATCGGACGGGACTCGAACGTCGGGTAACCGTCTTTGTCCAGGATATCATCCCCTTCCCGCGTAACCCATTGGGCGGGATGGAAACTGTCGACAAACCGACAAAGAGTGTCGTACGCCCGCTCGTCTTCCGAGCACATGTCCCCGGCGGCGGTATGGTAATAACCGGTCCCATGCTCGTAATGCCGGGACATCCAGTACACCGGGATTTTAGCCCTACGACCCAACACAGGAGTCCCATCGTCGCCCATCATCGTTTCCCCATCATCGTCGCTCACCGGCCCCTCCTCCTCGAAAAGGGAATTTAAAGCAGCGTCGGTAACTGGCCGTACCACGTACCACTTGTCTTTAAACCCCCTCACGGAGTCCATATACATCTTAAAGAGCCTCCTCGACTGCTTCAGGGAGACCCAGCTATGTTTCCCTCCTCGGGACTGACGCTGCAGGTGAAATATCCGGAAGAAAAGCGGGATGGTCGCCCCGATCCTCAGGTATCGACACGTCAACTCAAACGCCCGGATGAAGGCGAGAGAGTTTGGGTGTAGCTGGGACGGGGCCAGCTCCAAGTGCATAAAGACCCCGGCCTGGAAATCAGTGAATGGCAGCCGCAACCCTAGGTCTTTGAACGCGATCTCATACATTGCGAGGCTGTAATTCGGATAAACCGAGCAGATCCTTGCACGGGTTGACGGAAGCATAACTACGAAGTTTTGTTGGAAGCCGGGCTGGTCTTGACCCTCTTCAATGACAGCGAATGGATGTCGGTCATCCCGACTATATACCGATGCTATCCCCCGCGGCTCGACGCCCACCCATTCCAGCAATGGGTCGGTCACGGTATCAATCAGGGTGACCGACTCGTCGGCACTCCGTTCTTCGCGGTCGCGGCGTCCGGAGGAGCTCGGCTCGTCCGCCATGGTTACCTGCAGAGCACGGGAAACCAGTCAGTTGAGCACGAAGTCCTACGCTCGACAAAATCATGTCGTCCCATACACGACTACATAAGCCCGTTTCCACAAATAGTTGCCTCCCCGACGTCCTGAACCCGGTGTTCCTCCTCAAACCAACTGCGCGGCCACTCTCCAAGCATGTCGACCCGAGGTATGAACATGGCGAGCCGCACCATGAAGCCCACGGCCAAGACCATGAACATACCGGGCGCGATCATGAATCAGGCGCCCTGGATCACGAAGACTCCGGGCAGCCCTGAAGTTTATCACCTAAACTATGAATGTGCCGGCCACAAACATGCGTTTGCCGGTCCTAGACATGAATGTGTCGGGCTGAGCACGAGTTTACCGGGCTAATCCCACGCGCACGGTCCTAAAACATCTACAAACGCCGGATATCATGCATTCTAAATAGAAAAATGAAGAAGATAGATCACTTACTTGGATCAAAGAGTGGGATTTGGCTACGAAATGGAAGAATCTGTGACGGGAAGTCGCAACTGGAGAAAGTCTGGAAGAACAGCAGCAGAGAGAGCACAGAGAGCAGAAAACGTATTATGGGGCCCAAGGTTCCTATTTATAGTGATGACGTGGAATACCAAACGTCACCTCGGGCAACCACGGATTCCATCTCCTCGACGCACTGCTCCCAACGCAATGATGACCCTACTCCCATAGGGTGGCGGCACAGTTCCCGAAAGATACCTCGGGTGCTCGACCGACGCGCCCGGTAAGGATCCTCCGCGCATCCACCACCGAGGACGTCTCCGAGCACGACACAAGGAGGCCCCTCGAGGGCCCACACCTCTATCCCGGGCACGAGACCTCAACGAGGGAATAACTTGGGTTCAAGTTATGGCTCCTCGCAAAGGAACCACGACTTGGGGGGCTCCTGTTCTGGACTGGGCCCGACAGGCCCAAAAGCATTACTAAGGCCCAATCCAAAGGGACTTACTGAGGAACACGCCGAGCAAATGGGTCACATCCATGCCCGACATCCTGATGTCCAGCTCGACATCCCGCTGTCCAACTCCACGTGATGATGTCCAGCTCCACCTCCTGACGTCCAGCTCGACATCTTGCTGTCCAGCTCCACGTCCTGACGTCCAGCTCGACACCCTGCCGTCCAGCTCCACGTCCTGACGTCCAGCTCGACACCCTGCTGTCCAGTTCGACGTTGTCTCGAGCATCCCAACTAGGGCAGACTCAGTCCACCGTTCCCCCAACGATACTCCAGAAAGACCGCGTCTTCGTCCGCCCGCACTTCACGCAGAACATCCAGGAAGGGGACCACGTGCGGGTCCCCACTACCCACGTAGAACCTGGCAGTTCCTCCATTGGGCCAAATCCGCCCGGCCCAATGGAGGAACCTTGGCCCAGCGCTGGGGGCTATAAATACCCTTTGTTTCCAGAGGGTCAGGTATTCATCATTCTAACTTCAACTTACTATTATCTGCTCGTACTCCTACTTACTTCAGCATCGGAGTGCCTTGCAGATACCCCCCACCTCGCTCAAAAAAAGCTTTCTGTTCGGAGCCAGCCGTGACGGTCCATTTCTGATCAGGTCAGATCAAGAAGGAAAAAAAATCTTCTGAACCTTTTTCTGCTACTCACTCGTAGATCAGCAGATCTTATTCTTCGTTCAAAGGTAACCCAAAAGGAAAACAACTGACTATCAAATTTTGTATAGTTTTTTTTTTCAAAATTGGGTCCGCTGCCGTCGCTAGTTTGCCGCAATCACGCAGTGAAGGCATTTACAATTGATTTTAAATATATAAACCATTTGATTTTAATCAAACAATCATGCAATCATGACGGCGTGAATTTGTGTTTTAACTGACAGTAGGAAATCGTTATCCCATAGAAAGCCAGAAACTTGAAAGAATGTCTAGTCACACTTAAAACGAAATGAACTAACTTATCTTCAATGATATTATTTGAGAATTTCTTGTTATATTTTTATGGGGTTGAAATAAATTGCAAAAACTCTAAAATATTCTTTTAATATGTATATCTGAATACACCATATAATAAAAATATTTTCGAAAATGTATATTTGAAAAAATCTATTTTTCTATTAAATAAAATAATTTTGAATATGTATTTCTAAAAAATTTTCTGTTTGTGTTTTTTTTTAAAAACAAAAACAACAAATTATGAAATAAAAAAAAAGTCAAAATAATTTTAAGGTTTAGAAAATAAAAAACTGTTTTACAATAAATAAGAAATAATTAAAAATAAATAAGTGATTTAGTAAACAAAAATGAACAGAAATTTTAGCATTATTTTACCAATATAATTATATTTTTTAATTTAATTTTTGCATCAATTTGAAGATACCATTTTTAAAAGACATTTATTATATTATTATTACAAATATAATTATTTTATTTCTCATTATTGAAATTGTTTTCTTCACTCATAAGGAGTTAATCAAATTAAATAAAGTAATATTAAATTTTTAACTTACAAAAAAACAATATATTTAAAAAAATATATTATAGAAAATTCTTTATATATACATATCTGAAAACACATTTTTTTCCGTATAAAATAAAATTTATTCAAATATACATATTTGAAAATATTTTTTTTATAAAAAAAAAAGATATTTTTAGATATGCATCTAAAATTAAGTATTCTTTAAATAAAATGCATATCTGAATTCAAAGGGATATTATGGAAATTTCGCTAGAGATCCCTAAGACCCTATATGAGTGTATTAAGAAATTCTCTTTTATTTTTACCCCAACAATTAGCTCAAACTTCTCAAAAAAGGGAATACTCTTAAGTTACTTTAAAATGTTACTTGCACTAGAATGCTTGCAAGTTTAGTTAACAACTTTTGAAAAGGGTACCCCTTCAAAGAGCAACTACATTTACCTGGTTATAACCATGGTAAAGGTGCATAGTCACCAGTCGCTGTTTAAGTTTTTCTTATACTAGATAATGATTTATTTGGGTAGCTTCTGTTTAGTGTATTTTGGAAGGGAAGATTAGTGTTTGCAAGTATCGAGCAAGACGGAAATAAAACATTTCCTTCAACAAAATGACAAAAATCAATAATGTATGCATTCAAGATAATATCTCATCTCATGGACATTAATTCACAAACAAACAAACAAAAAATCTAATGGCAGCATTTAATCATACATCTAACACCTAGGGCACGTACCTCCCTATACTACAGCAACGGTGACCTGTACATCACAGGCAGAAATCTACTTTGTGAAATCAGTTACATGTAGAAAAACAGAAAAAACTAATTTGCGATCAAGATCCCGCGGTTCAGAAAAGAGCTTCGGTAGGATAAGGCTAATCCTTCCAAGAAAACTGAAATTGCTCCAATTGAGAATGCTTTACCCAAAAAACCAGCATCAATATGGGCGGCTAAGAATATAAATTCACTGAGAGGCCTCAAAGACGAAATAATCTTAAGTCTGATGAATAAGATGTCTGCACATAAAATGATCCCCAAGGGTGGATGACTTGAGTTCATGTTTTTGATCTCTTTTGCTTTTGAGGAACAAAACGGACCCCCTGCTTTCTGAGTTCCAAGATACTCACTTTTCCATCATCATAGGTAACATGTAACTTTGAGGTGCCTTCAACTGTGTCAGTAACCTCTCCCTTGTGCCTGGACAAATATGGAGGAAAAAAATGTAAACTGCAATCCATTCATTACAAAGTCTAGAGTGTTTTTGCAAAAACAGCTTTTAAACTTGTTGATCAAGTCAACGTTAACAAAAATAGTTGATTTTTATCAGTACAGTAAAATAAAACAGAAACTATTTTTAAAGATTCATTGCATTCCTCAATTTCTTAAGTTTGAAAGTTTAAAAGTAAGTAAATATAAAGTGTAAAGAAAATACTACCACAGTCCATACATATATAAAATGTAGTATGTACTCATCCCCCAGGTTATTACTTAGAAAATGGAGTATATAGGGGGGGAACATTTTTTTTAAATATTTAATAATAAAATGCCAGAGAAGGCACTAACCAAGAATTGTCGGATGCCTGATGAACTTCAACTCTCTTTCCAATTGCATCACTTCCCAATTTCATCAAAATCCAGTTTGCATCCATGTTCTCGTGATTTATATTATCTCCAGAAGATTGACTAACACCTTCAGAGTCATTAAACAATGTTTTTTCTTTAAAAGGTGAAGGCCTCTTCCTTTTTGACCTCTGACCCTTGACGGTGGTCTTCTCCTCTTCCTGATGGGGAGAATTTTGACTTTCAATGCTAGGCCTTTTGAATTTAAATCTCAGTAATGGTTTAGAATCTTTTGGCAAAGAATGTGAAGATGTGTTATTATTGTCATGTGTCTCGTCATATACATCAGAGCTACCTTCAGACTGCCTCGCCAAATACGTCCTTTCACCTCTTGATGTTGAATCTAATCCAACTTGATTGTTCATTCCATGAGTACTACGTTTACCACGCATAATGTGAGATCGCTCTAAAGGATCAACTTCACACCCATCAGACACATTGCCCCTACCAGAGGTGAAGTTGAGTTCAGAAACACTTGGCTTAACTTTTCCCAACTTGATCATATTTCCTTCTCTTCCTGAAACCTTTAAATGTTTTAATTGGCCAGAGTCAACCCTACTTCCTGAAAATTAAATGAACCTGTGTTATTTTTCCAAGATAATTCATATGTACATTAGCAACTCATATTTAATGCTCGGTGTGGTGGAAAAGAAATACACAGATTCAGGAGCGGGGAAATAACAACCCTACCTTTACCATCAACATGTCTAGCCGTTCCATCGTGTCTATCTAATGCATACTTGTTTCCCTTCATCAAATGGGCTAGATTTTCATTTCCTGATAAATTTGAACATGAAAAAGTCACATAAATAGAGAGATGGCAGAAAAAAGCTATCAAACCATTCAACATCGAGTGCACACATGAATGATGCTATAGACACAAATCATACAATAACTATAAATGATGTTGCATAGGAGAAAAAATTACTTCGATGCTAATTACGTTTATTTTGCCTAAAATGTATAAAACATGTCATGTCACTGACTCAAGGGAGACAAAGAAGTCATATTAACTGAAAAAATAGCCATAACATAACCCATTTTTACATAATCAAATCCCACCGTTTCTCAAGCTAAAATACGGAGACATAGAAAACAAATAAATGAAACTTCATTAAAACATACCATTTGCATTAACCAGATCTTGATCTCTTTGGAAGCTTGCATTATCAGAAAGCGGAGAACTAGCTACATTGATTTTCCGTGCTCCCAAATTTATAACCAACTTTTTCCCTTTTACATTCTGAGTCTTATCGCCATGTTTTCCACTCTCCTCTTCACTATCCAAAACATTTGCCTTATTGCTTTTAATTCGAACAACTCTGGTTTTCCTTTCTTCATCACTGACCATCACCTCATCAACAAACTTACGTTTCAAAATACTTGGACGGTTGACACGAAAAGATAATTCAGTTTGACTCAGGCTTCCAGTAGCAGGTGATGAATAAACATCAGGACCTTCATTTCTCTGGGATTGCATGTCGTCATCATCCAAGCTATGTAAAGATTTAACATCACTGTGTCCTTCAAAACTATGGTGTGCATCAATTTTACCAGTCATGTATGACAGAGAATCCTTTTTCTTGGCAGTCTTCTTGTTTGAAGATTTCTTTCCATAATCTTTTATCTTAATAGGTGAGTTATTGGGAAAATTCTTAAACGAGAACTTAAGGGAACGTGCAGAATCACTCTTTAACTTTAAAGGCCCACTATCCTCATCGTCAGAATATGGTGAAATAGAAAATATTTCTTCTTGTGTTGGTAATCCAGCTGCAGCCCTCAGACTGGTAATTAAATCTCTATCTGTGTCATTCTTTCTCCTCCAAAGCTCTTGAACAGCATCTTCAAGATTCTTGACCTGGAACATACAGATATGGTGGGTTCAGAAAATAATATTCTTCCAAGCATATCTTCCATTAAGGAACAAAAGTAATTATGTATTAAAGCCATGTGCACACCTGATAACATTCTCCACGACAAGTAGGACATGTATACTGCAGATTTCCATCTACTTGAAATTGATGATATCTTTCATCACTGGAAAATGTTTTTTTCAAAATAAGCATACAACAAATTGGTTTAAAAACTGCACCTCAAGCACCTCAAGAAGAAGAAAAGTGCAATTAACTATGTTAAGTGAAAATTTCTATTTTATTGTACAATATATCGCAAAAAGTAAAATTGACAATATCTCCATTCCAGATATAGAGATGCAACATTAAAAAATAGGACTGAGAAGTAAATGCCAAAATGTTATCACATGTTCACAACTACAAGAAGCAAACTAACCTAATATTATCACATTGACAATGTACCCAGCGTTGGCAATTATCACAGCAAACCATTGGTGTTGATTCTGAATCTCTGTAAACCTACAAAATAAGCCAAAAACAATGTAATCATTCAGAATTCCTTTCCAGCCACACACTGTGCAGTGTGTGAGCACAAGTGTACAACACAGTATTTAGGCGGCACAAAACAACATGGAAGTGAAATCAAAATGAAATTTAGAGACGATATTATGGTAATTGCGCAAGTACAGCATAATACTTCAGATGTAGTCTTGAATGTTACTCCCTCTGTCTCATAAAAAGTGTCTCATTTACACTTTTTCTATGTCTCAAAATAAATGTCTCTTTAAAATACCAATACAATATTTTTTTTCCCCACCGTTATACTCCTTTTTATTAACTTTCACTCTTTTCAACTACCCCGCTAACTATAATAAATAAGGGTATTTTAGTAAATGATACTAATTTTATCATTAAAATCAACACAACTAATCATTTTCTTAAGAACCGTGCAGAGCTCAAATAACACACTTATTATGAGACAGAGGGAGTAGCGGGACCTGATTCAAACCTGCCCAATTCTAGACAACTTTTTTTTTGACAATCTAGACAGTATTTTATAAAAAAACATGCATGTCTTTCATCTCCCTACAATTACTCACTGTCTAATAAGATAGCATATGTAATAAGAATACTACAAATATGTTACTTTCAAAATTAGAAAATATAGCAAAGGATTTCCTTTGAGGTTGTTCTAGGAACTTCCTAATGATAGCTGGCTATGATTTACTAACCAAGTGCTAAAATAAGATTACAAAGAGATCTAGAGAAGAGACTGGCACCTTCAGACAAACAGGGCAGTAATTTCCTTTCACAAACAATCTTCCACATGCATCACAGCACGTGTATCCCAGAAACCACCTATCAATATTATTACAAGAGAAGAACCGTAAGTCAATCCATCAAATAGATTCTGTAAAAGCCGCAATGTGAAAATGAATTAACTGCCAGTGCCGCACATAAAATTAGAGAAAATTTCAAACTACTTAGTAGCCTACTTGACTCAAAGATGCTACTGCGGTACTACTAGGCATTAACAAAAAAGAATCTATTTACATGCTTCAAAATTAGGAAAGATAAATTATTCTGAAGTGTTGACAAATAATAATTAAAAAATAATGTGCCATTTCAAAACAATATCAATCAAATTATTTTACCAATTCCAAAGCCATCTGAGCAGCAGGCGGTAAAGTCAAGTAAAAAGCAAACAATTAAAATAAACACGGTAGTAATTACATACACATCTAGCCAAAGTTGTTGGCTTTGTTTCAATTAGGAAGATAAGTTTTATCTATAAAACTAGCATAGCTTTCATCATCCAATCACGTGAGCATCAACACAATTATAAGAGAGACATTATAATAAACCACGGGAATGGCAACAATGTTGAGGATAACAACACCACACATCTAAGTAACAAAAACATGAATTATGTTGGATTCATACCTCACACTTAGTCCATTTCCAGGGACATTGGATGCGCAACTGTGACACTTTGTATGTTTTGGGCACAAATAGGGCCCAGTACTAACATTCTGCATTATACATAATCATATAAGAAATGGTGCATTTGAAATCAATACTAATCTCACTTGTAATGGATACAGAATCTACCTTATGAGGAGGTTGCAGACAGTAACAGTGGTAAGCACCATCACATCTTTTGCAAAACATGAACTTACTTGGATCACCAGTCCGTCTACAAGCCTAGATGAAGAAAACAAAGCATAAGACAAACACCACTCTAATGAATCCTTAGCTGGTATTAGCAACTTCTCTAGCAATAACCAACACAACGGCATTCATTTTTGTATAGAAGTTATATATGCATAAAATAGTATATATGTAAATGCCAATGGAACTACGGTGAAGCACATGAGAAGTAACCGCAAAGGTTTCACAAGGAAATAAGTGGTGAAAGGGATATTTTGTAGGTGTTGAGTTAAAAAGAGATAACGAAGCTCCCAAAGCCTCTAAAACAAACTGGATTCCCAATCACACATAGGGAAGACAATTCAGGGTTAAAAGGTGGATAAATGATCTAACCATATTGTCATGTAGGATACAAAATCAATTTAATTTACAAACAAATAAATACACAGCACGTAGGAAACTGAAAGCCTGCATACACCCAAGTGTATGATATTCAATCCGACTTTCATGAAAATGTTGAAAAGACAGGAGAGATTCCCATTATGTACAATTAAAAAAATACTCAACCTTATTTGATTAAACATGGAAATCCTAACTCCTACCTAATCCAAAAAAATAAGTGATGTCAAGCAACATTTTTCGAAGCACAGTATTACATATTCAAGAAAATAACATGAAACAACCAGTGTTAGAACACATCTTCATTAAGTGTGGGGGGATATTATTAGAGTGAGATATGAGAGAAGAGAGAAAAAGCTAAAAGAGAAAAGAGAGAAACAGATTCTGTTATTGCTTAATTGGAAAGGAGCATTATGCTCTATTTATACAAGAGGAGATGAACATTCAAGAGTTGAATCATTCAAGCTCTACAATTAAGGAAGACTTTTCTTATTCTATTAAATTAAGGCTGGACTTAATTATTCTATAGTGCTGATTATTCATATTCTAAGATATAACTCTAATACTCCCCCACAAGCTCAAGGTGGCTGCAAAGGCTGACTTGAGGCAGACAGGTTGAGCTTGCTGCTGAGCTCCATAAATCTTGAACATGAGAGAGGCTTGGTGAGGATGTCAGCCTTCTGGTCAACACCAGGAATGTGGCAGACAGTGAGAGACTTATTAATCACCTTTTCTCTTACAAAAAAGAGGTCAATTTCCATATGCTTTGTTCTTGCATGAAGAACAGGGTTATGAGCCATAGCAACTGTGCTCTGGTTGTCACAATAGATGGTTGGAGTTGTCAAGGGAATTTTTAGTTCAGCTAGCAAAGTTTGAACCCATAAAACTTCAGCTGTGGTGTGAGCCAAGCTGCGATACTCTGCCTCAGCACTAGAACGAGCAACAACAGTTTGCTTTTTGGACCACCAAGAGATCAAATTAGGGCCTAAGTACACAGCTGACCCAGAGGTGGATCTTCTATCATTTGGGTCAGCAGCCCAGTCAGCATCACAATAGGCTTGCAGAGAGAACGGAACAGTGGAGGCTGGAGTGAACAATAAACCAGAGGTGATAGTTCCTTTTAGGTAGCGCAGAATACGCTTGACAGCTAGCCAATGGGACTCCAAGGGGTGTGCCATGAATTGACATACTTTGTTAACAGCATAGCAGATTTCTGGCCGTGTAATTGTTGCATACTGCAGGGCCCCTACAATGGACCGGTAGTGGGAGGCATCAGACAAGGCAGCAGACCCTGTTTTGATGAGTTTGGTGGAGGAAGCCATAGGAGTAGCAACTGGATTGGAATTCTCCATATCAGTTTTGATTAGCAAGTCCCTTAGGTACTTAGATTGAGTGAGAAGGAGATTTCCATTGGACAATTTCTTCACCTCAAGGCCCAGAAAATAGTCCAAGTCACCAAGTTGTTTGAGAGCAAACACATGATTTAATTGTTGAGTAACTTGCTTGATGAGAGGAGGGGAGTTTCCTGTGATGATTATATCATCAACATAAACCAGCATATAAATGACAGCATTGTGATGCTTGTAGATGAAAAGTGAAGTATCACACTTGCTGTTTAGAAAGCCAAAGGATAAAAGAGTGGTTTTGAGTCTTTCAAACCATTGCCTCGGGGCTTGTTTTAGGCCATACAAGGCCTTGTGCAAGTGACAAACCAGAGATGAATTAGGGGCAGTAAATCCAGGGGGTTGCATCATATAGACCTCCTCTTCAAGAATGCCATTCAAAAAGGCATTGTTTATGTCCAACTGCTGCAAAGGCCAATTGTAAGTTAGAGCAAGAGTCAAAATAATTCTAATTGTGACCGGTTTAATAACAGGGGAGAAAGTTTCATTAAAGTCAAATCCATGGACTTGATGGAACCCCTTAGCAACAAGCCTAGCTTTGTACTTATTTACTGTCCCATCAGCATTTTCCTTTACACGAAAAACCCACTTGCAGCCTATTGCTTTCCTGTTAGCAGGCAGTGGTACCAAAGACCAAGTGTTGTTCCTTATCAAGGCACCATACTCCTCTTGCATAGCAGCAAACCACTTAGGATCTTGGAGAGCAGTTTTAACACTCTTAGGCTCAGAATTGACAAGAAAAATGGAAGGATTTAGACGAGGTAAGGGTACACCAGATTTAGTTCTAGTAGTCATAGGATGAGTATTGGTGGGGAGAGGCTGAAGGTTAGGATCCCTAGGAGCATAAATAGAGGAGGAGGATAGTGAAGTGGTAGTAGTAGGCTGATTGTTGGCATTTGAAGAGGGTGAAGGAGTAGGATTAGTGCTGGCTGTTTGTGTTATAGGGGTTGCTGACCCAGAGGCAGTAGGTGTGGGGCTGGAATTGGATTGGGAAGAAGAAGAGGAGTGTGAGACAATAGGTGTGGGGCTGGAATTGGAGTGAGAAGAAGAAGAGGAGTGTGAGACAATAGGTGTGGGGCTGGAATTGGATTGAGAAGAAGAAGAGGAGTGTGAGGTAGTGGAAGCAGTAGGAACGGGAAAAACATGAGGGAGAGCTTGTGTGTTAAGGGTTACTTTAGATGAGGAGGAGGATGGAATGGTTGATGAGGGGAGAGAAACATTAGAGGAAAAAAGATCATTGTAAGGAAATTTGGACTCGTTGAAAAGAACATCTTTAGAGATGAATATTCTACCACTTGGAGAGAGACATTTGTAACCTTTGTGAGCTGTAGAGTACCCTAGAAAAAGGCACTCGTGGGATCTAAAGTCAAATTTTTGAGAGTTGTATGGGCGAAGGAGAGGAAAACAAGCACACCCAAAGACTTTAAGGAATTTATAGTCAGGATTTTGATTGAAAAGGACAGCATATGGTATATGTTGATTGAGAGACATGGTTGGTAACCTATTTATTAGGTAGACAGCGGTTAAAAAGGCATGGTCCCAAAATTTGAGAGGTAAAGAGGCATGACTCAAGAGGGTTAAACCAAGATCAACAACGTTTCTATGCTTCCTCTCCACTACACCATTTTGGTGATGAGTGTGAGGGCAAACTAGGCGATGAATAATGCCAAGATCAGAAAGAAACTTTGTAAATGGGCGAAATTCACCACCCCAATCAGTTTGGACAGATTTAATAGGAAATCCAAATTGTAATTCAGCCATGACTTTGAATTGTTTAAAGATAGTTAAGGCTTCGGATTTATTTTTGAGCAAATAGATCCAAGTAAATCTGGTGTATGCATCAACAAAGGTGATGTAGTAGGTAAAGTTTTGGGAGGATTTGACTGGGGCAGGACCCCATAGGTCACTGAAAATTAATTCAAGAGGAGAGTGATATTGAGTTTGTGACTGAGGGGAGTGCAGCCTATGTGCCTTTCCCATACAGCAGGCAGAACAAAAGATAGATTCAGCTTTATTAGAATAAGGAATATTACATTGAGCTAAAACAAGTCTCATAGTATTAGAATTTGGATGACCAAGGCGTAAATGCCAAGTATGTTGAGAATTATATGAGTTATTAGCTGATACATTTTGATTAGAAACTGAAACCCTATCACTAGTACTGGAATCAGATCTTGAAACATGAGCATTAGAGTCTAAGGTGAGACATGAGACTTGACTTGTTGAAGGAGGCTTAAGAAGCTGAAGATGGGAAAATTGGTACAGGCCATCACTTCCTACACGACCTTGGAGCAGAATTTCATTGGTAGCCTGAGATTTGACATAGCACATATCAGCATGAAACTCAAAGAAAACTCTATTATCAAGACAGAATTTGTTGACACTTATCAGGTTCTTTGTAATAGAAGGAACAAGCAGTAAATTATGAAGAGCTAATGGAGTGTTAGGTTTAGAATGAGAAGGAAAATAAGAAGAGCCTGAAGAGTGAATGTGCAAACCTTGACCGTTACCAATGAAGATCTGATCAGGACCTTCAAAAGGTGTGGTTTGCTGTATGTTTTGAGAGGCATTGGTAACATGATAAGAAGCTCCTGAGTCTGGGAACCAGGCACTGCTTGGAACTGAAGTTGTGTTAGCAATCATAGCATTGGGAGTGATATGTGACTGAGGAACAGGGAGAGGGGCAAGTCTTGGTTGATAGCTTGGGCGTGACCGAGTGTTAACCATGGGCTGAGCAAACTGAGGTCCACCAATTGGTTGATACGGATAGAAATTTTGTAGGTTCATTGTTTGAAAATCAGCAGGTATGTTAGGTTGAAATTGTTGATTGAACCTATGATAGCAGTTAGCAGCAAGATGACCATATTTGAAGCAAACTTGACATTGAATGTTGCTGAACCTACCTCTCCCACGGCCGCGTCCACCACCACGGCCAGCTGCACGGCCTCCTCTTGAATAGGTTGGATTAAAGGTTGAATTCACAGCTTGTTCATTGTTCTTGTTATTCGAGTTATCAGTTTCAGGTTGAGAATTGGCTTGAGTGAGATTCACTGAGGCAGCCACCTCCATTTGTGAGTGTTTCTTATACTTGTTGTATCTCATCTCATGAGCAAGAAGAAGAGCTTCAACTTCTTCAAGTTCTACTGAATCAAACTTGCTTTCAATAACTGAAATAACAGAGGCAAAGTCTTGAGGAAGACCTTCAAGAATCACATCAATGTGTTGCTGATCTGGAATTGGATCTCCTACTGAAGCAAGCGCGTCAACAAGAGCTTTGATGCGAACCAGATAATCACCAACAGATTTGTCTTCAAGTGTTGTAGATCTGAGTTCCGCTCGTAGTTGTCTTGCTTTCGCACGTGTAAGCTTTTGAAAATGCGCAAGAATACGTTCCCAGAGCTCGTAGGAATGAACGCATCCAAGAACACGTGAAAGAATTGAAGGTGAAAGCGTGGATTGAAGCCACGTCATAAGCCACTGATCTTGCGTAATCCAGGTGCGATACGCAGGGTTCTCACGAGCAGCGGCACGATCTTCATCAGTCAGGTATTGATTCGGTATGTCACGAAGGTAAAGGTAGTTTTGAAGATTGTTCGCGTTAACGAAAGGATCTACTTGTTGGCGCCAAAGTAGGAAATTCTTCTCATCAAGTTTTTCTGTGATTTTGAGTTGGAAGGACATAGATGTTGGGGTGGCCGGAGCTGTAGTTACTGGAATCGCTGCCATGGATAGAACCGAAGCTCTATGATACCATATTAGAGTGAGATATGAGAGAAGAGAGAAAAAGCTAAAAGAGAAAAGAGAGAAACAGATTCTGTTATTGCTTAATTGGAAAGGAGCATTATGCTCTATTTATACAAGAGGAGATGAACATTCAAGAGTTGAATCATTCAAGCTCTACAATTAAGGAAGACTTTTCTTATTCTATTAAATTAAGGCTGGACTTAATTATTCTATAGTGCTGATTATTCATATTCTAAGATATAACTCTAATAGATATAAAGATACTTTTGCAAAATTGAAGCTAGATGGAGATTATAACTATAATCAATTACAATTGCAGCATCAGTTTTTAAGTTTAGATTGAGAAAGAATAGAACCTTAAACAAAAAACACATGAAAAAGCACTAGCTCACTAGCACTGCACGTCACCTATTACCTCACATATTCGGCAAGCACGACAGGTCCATGAACTCCAATGAAATAAATCTGCCAAAAAAAGACAAAATGAAAACATGCACCATCAAGAACATAGCACCATAATTACCCACATATACCTTCTCACCTCTATTATTAGACCAACTTCTCAAGCAGTTCCTATGGTACTTCTTACTACAACTTTTGCAAGAAAGCATCTTTTTCGCTTTCTCACTTCCTTCACTCTCAACGCGATTACACATTCGACAAAAGACCTTAACATTGGATTGACCCAGTTCTTCTCCATTAAGATTTCCTGATGTATCCTGCTCATACAACCATAGATCAGTATTAAAATAGAACATCAAAACCAACTATACCATACTCGTGCGAACCTAATTCCCAAAAAAATACAAGAAATTCACAAGATAAAAAAGAATCTCTACGTCAAATTAAGCACCAAGCACACAAATATAAGAGTAACAATAAAATCAAAAGTCAATATCAACATGAATTTCCTACCAAACCAAAATTAAGCATAACTCCAGCTCAATTTTCAAACTAAAATTCAATTCGAACATCACACATCAAGATTTAATCGCATAGAATTCCAAACTAGGTTTCCAAAACCACAATTCAACAAAAATAATTAAACACACAAAATCATAATCCTTCAAACTCACCAGCACATCACCAGACTCAAACTTCCTGGCATACTCCTCCGCCGCAATCATGGCAGCCGCACCTTTCCTCTGAAGCGCAACACGCTTGGCTTTCATAGACGCGGACTCATCAAGCACATCACCGCCAACAGGAACAACCTCAGGAGGCGGCGGCACAACCTTGGGAACCGCAACTTGGATCGTAGAGTCCTCTGTCCTCGCATCCGCAATGAAATCTCCGAGCACAGAAACGTGGTTGAGGAAACCATTGGCAGCGTCGTTGGCGATGGTTCCATTGAGAGAACGCGGAAACCCTAGCGCACAGAAACAGATTCTTCGACTGAAAGAAAATAACAATAACAATAAGAGTGTTTCGAGAGAGGGAAAGAAATAAAAGAAGAAGCGTAACCGTAAGCGTAAGCATTACCATGTAATTGGACAAGCAACGTGAAATGCCATTTTGTGTTGTAGATTTAGATTTCAATTTTTTTCGTCTTTAGGGGATCGTTCCCTCCCCTTTTCACTAAAATTATTAGTTCTCTAATTTTTATTTTTTTTATTCTAGTACTAGTACTATATAAAACATTATAAAAGAGGGAAATTAATATCAAAATCAAAATAAATAAAAAAGGGGTAAGATTTGTGAGATGATGAAAAGTGCTGTAAGGCGTCGCCGAGATGAGGAAGGAGGAAATAGGAGAGAGAAACAAATTAGAATGTAACGCCCAACGGGCCTCTATTATTGGGCTGGACTAGACGGGGCTTCTTATAACAAAATTTCATCTTATACCACCCTTCATTTATCCTCCTAACACCCCCCCTCCCCTCCCACGTGCCACATGCCAGAATATTTTTTTAATTAAATTTTTTTTTATTTGTCTCACTTTTTACTTTTTCTTTCATTTGCGCATTAAAAATTCCTAAACAAAGAAAAAATTGTTATCACAATTCTTTTGTGAAGTGTTCTGATATATTAAAAATTTATTTATTGAAATTTTTTATGAAGTATTTTGGTATATTAAAAATTACAAATTTATTTATTAAAATTCTTTTTTCAAGTATTTTAGTACATTAAAATTAAAAAAATTGTCTCCGGGAACTCTTTTGCCTAGTATTCTGCTACATTAAAAAATTAAAATTTATCTATCGAAACTCTTTTGTCAAATGTTATAATATATTACGAATTAAAAATTTGTCTATAGAAACTGTTTTGTTAAGTGTTTTGATACACACATATGTAGAAGTGTAATTTTTCAAAAATCTTAAATGAATTGTAAAAAGTAAAATGGTGAATAACATAATAGAGCAAAGTTTGTATTTTTCATAAAACTAGTGGAATACTAAAACTAATGGAATACTTGTGCGTTTCTACGGGTACTGATTTCGATACACGTATTTGTTTTCAAAATATAATAAAATGAAAATGAAATTCTTTTAAAAGATAATAAGTCAGTGTCTATTATTTTTGTTTGAAATTATTATAAAAAATATTTAAACCAATATTAAAGTTGTTATATTATTATTTAATATTTTGATCAGTAACTTCATATTCCCGTTATTATTCAATATTTTTATCAGTGATTTTATATTTTCGTCATTATTAAATATTTTGATCAGTAATTTTATATTCTCGTTAATATTCAATATTTTGATCGATAACTCTATGTTTTCGTTAATATTCAATATTTTGATCATTAACTTAATATTTCTATTAATATTCAATATTTTTATCAGTAACTTCATGTTCTCGTTAATATTTAATATTTTGATCAGTAACTTTATGTTCCCGTTAATATTCAATATTTTGATCAGTAATTTTATATTTCCGTTAATATTCAATATTTTGATCAGTAAGTTAATATTTTCGTTAATATTCAATATTTTGATCAGTAAATTCATATTCCCGCTAATATTTAATATTTTGATTAGTAACTTCATGTTCCCGTTAATATTCAATAGTTTGATCAATAACTTCATATTCTCGTTAATATTCAATATTTCAATTAGTAACTTCATGTTCTCGTTAATATTCATTAGTTAGATCAAAAATTCCATATTCTCGTTAATATTCAATATTTTGATCAGTAACTTTATGTTCTTGTTAATATTCAATATTTTGATCAGTAACTTCATGTTTCTGTTTATATTCAAAAAATATATCATTAACTAAATGTTTCCGTTAATATTCAATATTTTGATCAATAATTTTAATGTTCTCGTTAATATTCAATATTTTGATCAGTAACTTCATGTTCTCGTTAATATTCAATATTTGGATCAGTAATTTCATGTTCGCGTTAATATTCAATATTTTTTCGTTACTATTCAATATTTTCATCATTAATTTCATATTCCCGTTAATATTCAATATTTTTATTAATAACTTCATGTTCATGTTAATATTCAATATTTTTATTAGTAACTTCATGTTTCCGTTAACATTCAATATTTTGATAAGTAATTTTGTGCTCTCATTAATAATTTAATTTTTTAAAATATTAATAAATATTTATTTCACAATCTTCATAGTCTTAATTCTGACAACAAAAAAATTAAATTATTGAAATGACGTTTAAGTATCTATGTTTAAAAAAATACATTTGACATGCTCAAATATAACTCGTTGACAATTAATAGTATTAATATTATTAAACAATCATAAATTTTAAAAAAATATAGTAATTGATTTAGTTGAACAAATGTGATTGATTTAGTAAAAAAAATTATAATTGATATTTAATTAAAAAAAACGCAAACATGGAAGAAACATAGATTAACGATAATAGTAATATTATGAAATATATTGGATCACTAACTTTCATAGAAGCGTAGAAATTAACCTTGTTAAAAAAATATTGTTTTCAACATAAATAAATTAATAATTACTAAACATATGTTTCAACCCTATTACATAAATTGATCAAATAAATAGAGAAATCAATGTAATAAACTAAGAATTACGCTAAAAATAATTAAAACACAGTCTAAACATGCATGTAAAAAACTCCAAATTGAACAATATTCATAAAATTTATTTGCAACAAAATAAATTAAATAAATATTTTATTTAGTAAAATATAAAAAATATATTGTGGTGATAATTATCGGTAAAAATAGTGAATAGTAAATTTCAATAATAAAATATTTGATTTTATTGTTATAGAGTTCTATATATCAATATTTGAGTTCATTATGCCTTTATTATAAATGATTTTATTGTTATAGTTACCTATCAACATACATTTGTATCAGAGTATGTTTTGAACAGATCTACATCGAAAAGGCTAAATATTTTCAGTGTTTCGAAGAAACATCAAGTCATTTTAACATCGTGAAGATGATTGGCTATAGTGAACACAGTTTAGATAAAACTTATGCAAAGTTATTTTTTATTAATAAATCTATAAATTCTACTATTGAATGAAATGAGATATAACTACATATATTAATCTAATAGTGAAAAGCACATGAGTGTTGGGTTTGATGCAAAACTATTATAAAGGTTTTTATGTGCATTGATAAATGATAACACGATTCCCACCTCCCACTTCCTTAATTCACTTGTTGATAAACAAATTATTAAAGTCAATGAAAGCAATCAGATTATTCTAAAACTGTAAGAATATTTATCATTAATCTGAACATTTACCAGGATTCCTCTTTGGACAAGATTCTATATTAGAGTTTTTAACCTCATTTTATAGACTTAAAAGACTTGTTCAAGAGTTAATAACATTGACTGATAAATGCACATGTGATAGTGACATGTAGTTCCACAAAAAACATTTGAAACCAATTATCTAACTGAGTTTAAACATACATATTCATAAATGATTCATATAATTTTAGCCAATGAAAAGAAAATTAAACATAACTTTATTTTTTTTTCATCTTTAGTCTTTATAGTATTATATTAATAAGACAAAGATCTCCTTCTTACTTAACCAACCAAATTCTTCAATTTCTTCCAAGCTGGCCTACTTGAAATCTTCTCCCACCAAGCCTTCACATTCTTCTTCTCACAAACCAAATGTCCCATTTTTGCTGCCTCTATAAGATGTTTAATTTCAGGAAGATGACTAAGATCATCCAAACTGAAATTATCACCAGTAAGATAAGTGTTTTTAGACAATCTACTTTCGTACACATCAAACACCTTCTGTAGCTTCTCTTCACATCTATGAACTAAACACATGTCTCTAGGTTTACCCATCCTTACCGATCACAAGGTTAAACATGATGTTGAAGCATAAATCATTGAAATTGTGTGCTTCTACTTCAAGCCATTGGTCCACCATAGTTTTCTCTTTTAATGTTGTGTCAAGTAAGTCAGGTCCACGGTTCGTGTATTTTTCTGTGTAATACCTTACAATAGCCCTTGATTCTACACAAATATAATTGAGAAAAGCATAAAATAATGAAAATAATCAAGAAACAACAAATTCA